GGCCTAGATGTCAATTTTAAACTTGTAATTGAGCTAAAAGTTATGGTAATATATTCAATTTATTTTACTATAAACTTTCATAAATCTTTATCAAAAATTTTTCATCAACTTTAAAGAACCAAAAAAATAGGTTAAAATTGAAAATTTGGACTGATTATTTTTAACATATTAAAAATCAAATCAGTAATAATTTGAAAACAATTCTTTTTTTCTTTTAATTATTTTTTATATGTAATTAGTAATAATATAAAAAATTAGAACTGATAGATAAAGTCTAATTGCAAATTTGAAAAAAACGCGAAACTTTGATTTAGAAAAGTATATTTTTGTTTCTGATGAAAGTTCCTTGAAGTCCAGTGCATTCATTTATAGTAACAAACAGTTTTTATTGATAATTATNAGCACACACAAACAGAGTAATAAAATTATTAACTGTATTATGCCCTTTAAATTTTTATACATGTAAAACCTATCATATCAAACTTCATTCGTTAATAAATATTTTGAAAACATTAGAAATTAATGATTTTAATTGTCTTTATGGAGACGATGTAATAACTAACTGTTTAATTGATAAATTAGAATTTTTTTTTCAATTTTTGAGAGTAATATCTTCAACTAGATACGAATTGTAGTAATTTGACGTATTGTTGAAAAAAGTAGGTCAAGTTAGAGCAGAGAAAATAAATGATAGTCACAAAAAAATATCTTCTCGGCTTTGCATCGAAGCGAAAACTTAAAATATAGTAAAATAATTTTAATACGAATAAGAAATTTCTTCTTGCAAGGGGCGACTAAAGTGATGGGATCCTTGATCTTTATTGAAGTTATTGAATCTAAATGTGATAAAAATCAAACGAGTTAAAATTTATACTAACTTAAAAAGAATTAAGAAAAAATGCAAAAAATTCATTGCCATATGCGGGTTGGAACCTCGTACCCCAAGCGTGTAAAACATAAATTTAACAACTCGGCCATCGTACTTTGCTACCGACAATTGAAAAAATTGGGTATTTAAGCTAGTTCAAATTTCAAAGATATTTTTCTTGACTTCAAAAAACAAAAATTTAAATAAGTTTAACTTTCTATGCTATACTAATTTTAATTTATATAATATTTATGAAAATCTGTACTCCCCTAGTGAGGTATTTTAAAATAAAATAAAATACAAAACCCAGAATTTTAACACAAAAATAGCAAATTTTTGAATACGGTAGTCATTTTTACCATGAAGACAAATCCAGAGGTCAAATTTTTTTTTTTCACATTAAAGTATATTACATAAGCTTTAATTTAAGATATATTTAAAAGTGTCAGTATTTCCGGAATACTTTCAAAAATTAAATTGAAAATATCGTAGTAACAATACGCATGTTTAAAGTTTTGACCCCCCTTGTTAAAGGGGTATGATCCGATTTACAAAAAAAGCGTGCCAGATGAAAGGGGTATATCAATATTTATTATAAAAAAATAATAATATTGATCCATACATTTTTCCAAAAGTTATATAAAATATAAATTAAATAATATAACATATAAAATCGAGATTTTTTTCACGGAAATCGTACGTTTTTCTTTAACTTTGATGTCCGTTTTCACCACGAAGACAAGTCCAGAGGTCAAATTTTTTTTTTTCAAATTAAAGTATATTACATAAGCTTTAATTTAAGATATATATAAAAGTGTCAGTCTTTCCGGAACATTTTCAAAAGTTAAGTTGAAAAAGTTCTACTTTCTATACGCATTTTAAAAGGTTTGCACCCCCCCTGTATAAAGGGAAATGGTCCGATTTTAAAAAAAAGTATGTCGAATGAAAGAAGTATATATAAAGTATTTATCATTAAAGAATAAAGTTGATTCATGCATTTTTTAAAAAGTTATAGCAACATAATGTTAAAAAATGTAAAATATAATATCAAGAATTTTTTCACAAAAATAGCATATTTTTGCATACGGTAGTCATTTTCACCATGAAGACAAGTCCAGAGGTCAAATTTTTTTTTTTCAAATTAAAGTATATTACATTAGCTTTAATTTAAGGTATATATAAAATTGTCAGTCTTTCCGGAACATTTTCAAAAGTTAAGTTGAAAAAGTTAATTTTTTGTAAAAAAGTTACCATTTTGAAACTCCTTCCTGTGGGCTATTAAAGGGTCAAATGTTCACAAAAATATATAAAATGATAGGTAATTATTTAAGGTATCTATAAAAAAAAAAATTATATTGTTTCGATCATTTTTAAAAAAGTTATGGCAATTTTAAGTAAAAAAAAATGAAAAAATATCGAAAATTAGCGATTTTTAAATTTGTAATTTTTTGGGAGGTTTCCCCCATTTTCGGGGAACGAGGGAATTTTTTTCAATTTTTGAGGGTAATGTCTTCGACTAGATACGATTTGTCATCTTTTGACATATTGTTCATCAAAATCGGTCCAGCGAGAGCTGAGATTGAGCGTTCACAGACACAAAAAAAAAAATAAAAAAATAAAAAAACACATCATAGTAAAATTAATACCTTCTCAGCTTCGCATCGAAGCTAATATATATAAAAGTGTCAGTCTTTCCGGAACATTTTTAAAAGTTAATTTTTTGTAAAAAATTTACCATTTTGATACCCTTTTCTGTGGGCCGTTAAAGGGTCAAATGTTCACAAAAATATATAAAATGATAGGTAAATATCTAAGGTATTTATAAAAAAAAAATTATATTGATTCGATCATTTTTAAAAAAGTTATGGCACTTTTAAGTAAAAAAAATTGAAAAAATATCGAAAATTAGCGATTTTTAAATTTGTAATTTTTTGGGGGATTTCCCCCGTTTACGGGGAACGAGGGAATTTTTTTCAATTTTTGAGGGTAATGTCTTCGACTAGATACGATTTGTGATCTTTTGACATATTGTTCATCAAAATCGGTCCAGCGAGAGCTGAGATTGAGCGTTCACAGACACAAAAAAAAAAATAAAAAAACACATCATAGTAAAATTAATACCTTCTCAGCTTCGCATCGAAGCTAATATATATAAAAGTGTCAGTCTTTCCGGAACATTTTTAAAAGTTAATTTTTTGTAAAAAATTTACCATTTTGATACCCTTTTCTGTGGGCTGTTAAAGGGTCAAATGTTCACAAAAATATATAAAATGATAGGTAAATATCTAAGGTATTTATAAAAAAAAAATTATATTGATTCGATCATTTTTAAAAAAGTTATGGCACTTTTAAGTAAAAAAAATTGAAAAAATATCGAAAATTAGCGATTTTTAAATTTGTAATTTTTTTGGAGATTTCCCCCATTTACGGGGAACGAGGGAATTTTTTTCTATTTTTGAGGGTAATGTCTTTGACTAGATACGATTTGTGATCTTTTGAAGTATTGTTGAAAGAAATCCGTTCAGTGAGAGCTGAGAAAAAGTGGTAACAGACAAGAAAAAAAGACATCATAGTAAAACCAATACTTTCTCAGCTTTGCATCGAAGCTACTATATTAAGTTAAAATGGAAAGAAAGTAAAAAATATATTTTATATCATTTAATCTACTTATATATGAGTAGATTAAATGAATATTGTGTTGATAAGTTAACTATATTCCACATTTAAAATATGTGTGTTTTAAAATACTTAGTAAAATAAGCGTTATTTCTATAAATAAATTTGGTAGGTACATCAATGGCTAATAAACGGTTATAATGCTCCATAGTAAACCATTGGCAACACTTAAATAGACCGTCTATGGTGGAATTGTTGATGTTGATTAAACGCATAATAAACTTGATTTTGTACATTGGGTATATTTCGGTTAAAATTATAATATTAAATTCCAACATTATCAAGGGTTTTTCATCTTGATTCCTACACATTTTCTAGATATTACGTTTGAAAAAAATTTACTTATGTTTATTTTTTATACATATATTTTGTTTTTCAACTATGTTTTGACAAAAATTGATAAAATTATAACATTTACCAATGATAATATCAAGACTAAAATGTTCTTCAGTACTGCTCTCAAACCTTCCACTTAGGACATGTAAACATAAACCTCTCTCTAAATATATTTCTGTAATCTACATATTACCAAAATGGTAAAACAGTAAGTTATAAAATTATCAATACGTTCAAAAATTGTCACTAAAGATGCAACAAAACCAATGTTTTGTAATTTTTATAGGAAAGCAAAAATTTCATTTTTATGCCATTGTATAGCGTTCACTTTTATTGTTTATTCATTATCAAATTTGAGTTCACGAGTCTATATTCAACATAATAATGAATATAAGTGCTACTAACTCTTTTTGGCCAAAATATGAAATAGTCAGTATTTTTATGTAATGAAATATAAGTAGGACAGGAATGATTTAAATTAAAGTAAAAGATAAGAGCTAAAAAAACTTGTAAGTCAATATATTAATTAAAGAAAGTATATTTATTGTTTTAATTTAAGCATCAGGTTTTTTGCCTTTACCAGATTTTTTTAAGGTCAATGCTGCTCTTTTTTGTGATTCAAGAATTGCACTTGCCCTTCTAAGGGAAGCCTGAAAAATAATGTTTTATTACGATAACTAACTATATTGAAGTAAATAATTAAAGTTCAATGCATACCTGAATTAAATCTTTTCTGTAATTATTGCCCAACAAATATTTTCGCAATTTAAAAAGGGATCTCCTTGGACCACTTGAAAAACTAACTTTAACAAGAGACTTTCCAGGCTTATTCTACCAAAAAAATTTAAACACAGTAGTTATTAAAATGAGATACTATAAAGTGATAATAACTATGAAGTCATTTATTAATAATTTTAGAGATATTTTTGTGTAACAGACATTTTTTCTCTTAAAGATTTCTACTTAAGTAATTTAAAAAAATTGACTATATTTCAATAGTTATTATTATTAATAAAATAACTATAAATTAATTTATCTTAGAATTTTTTAATCTACTAAAGTACTTCAATTAATGCAATTAATTTAATTTCTAACTTCAATTAGAACCTAATTGAAAATTATTTAAAGTATAGTACATTCATTATTCATATTCTAATTCATTAGTTATTTCACTTCTATTTTTACGCTTATAAAAATTTCATGAATCATTATATAATTCGTTGATAGTGATAAAAATGTCACAAATAATTTATTCAGATATCATAAATATAAGTTATACAAAAAATAAATATTTTAAGTGTGATAATATAATTTCTCAACATTATCCAAAGTATAATTTTAAGCAAGGTTCATAACCCCTAAAAAGATTTACTTAAAATATTAAAACCATAAAAAATTCTAAATACCATATTTAATGAAAAACATTTTAAGAAAGCTTTTATTGAGTATAATTTTCTCATATGACTAATCTCCAAAAATATAGTAACAAAAGTTCATTATTTTAACCAAAAATTATTCAATTGATTAAGTTATCAAAATGTAAATCATTTTTGCACGAAAAATAAATTAATATTCTTCACATATAAATAAAATTATAAAAATATACATACATACATAATCTAGATTATTCTCTTATAACTCATACAATTTATCTGATTTATATATTAAGAAAAAGATTAAGCTGTAAATAAGAATACTCAATAATATTTTATAATCATTATTTCAGAAGACAGAAATATTTTTGTCAGAGTGAGAAAAGTAATGAAACTGAAAAATAACTAATGTCAAATATATCGATGATTTGTGTTTAACCTTAATTAATTCTTAAAAAATATTTCTCTTGGTTAAGTTAATATCTTAGATAAAAATCAGTAAAATTGGTAAACTATGATTAAATAATTATTATTAAATCAAGAAAAATATTTATAACTAAAAATATTCTTAAAATTATTTATTTTTAGAAAGCCATGATAATAAAATCACTAAATATTAAAAATATAAAAATAGTTATAAATAATTTTATCTATTATTAAAAAGAAGGAGGAGTAAACAACACATAATTTAATTACCACTAATTTGCGTTTCTTCGTTATGACTGTGAAGCCTTTATTATTAGGAGCTGATTCAACACCAATACTGTTATCATTTACAAGTCCATTGTAACGTTTTGAGGCCAAATTAGTCAAATTCATGGGTTCCTAGAAATAAATTTATATAAAGCTGTAAAATAAATTATTAACTTGTGCTAAGTTAATAAAAACCAACATTAATAAAAATAAAAATCTAGCACAGTGGAAACGTAGCATAACTGAATCAAGTATAATGATATCTGACAATGATTAAAATCACTATCATAAAAAACGCTTTGATGTAAATTTGTAGCTAGTGTTTAATTTTAAAAGTTAATTCCATATCGATAATTTTTAATAAAAGATGGACAAAACAAAAAAAATCTTTTTTTCTGGAAACCCCAGTCATATCTCATTGTTTTACTTAATTTAAAATTAGCTATATAAATATGTATATCATTTTTGGTAGGATAAAAAGAAACATAACAGTTATAAAATTGAAAAAATTGAGTAGTATTTTTTCCTAGTTATTGAAATAATTAAGTTTTTTTTTTTAATAACAATGTAAATAAAACAAAATTTTACAGTTATCCATCAGTGATAATTACATTTCATTAAGTTTCAATGTTGGTGAAGCTACATTCATCATTTGGATAACTAAGTAATGTTTATTTAATATGATATGTATATAACACATACCTTGCTGAATGGTTTTTTAATGTTAGCTTTCTTTGACAAAAATGCATTACTATTTCTAATAATCATCCAGCTTAAATCAGCCGACATATTGATAAAATCTGGAAATCAAATATACAAAAATTTGTCTGTCAAAATTAATTCCTTAAATAAATAACACATGGTTAATAACAAAATTGGCAATAGTTTATGTATTTACATATAAGAAACGATAAAATAGATATGTATTTAATTATAATACTAATATTTAATTAATGGCTTAGTTACTTACGATAATCTATTGAGTATTTTAAAAAATGAATTGTTTAAAAAGGCTCAAACAAAAATATTCATAGAACGCTAATAAAATATCAATTGTACTATAATTTGTAACCTCAACTATTATAACCTCAAACAAAACTTGGTAAACTTATACGATATATGTGTAGTAGATAGCAGCCAATCATTAATATCTTAAACCTTAGATAATAAACTGATTACACATAGATAGGCCACGGCAATCAGAGAATTGGCAATCAATTTTTCGTTAATCTATACCTGGAAAGATAGCGCTCTATACTCTCTCAAAAAATATTAAATATTTAATAATAACTATCTACATTGTTAATATTCTAACACTATTTTAGCTTTGGTGCAAAGCTGAAAAGATATTAGTTTTACTATGATGTGTTTTTTTTTGTCTGTTACCACTTTTTCTCAGCTATCACCGAACCGATTTCTTTCAACGATACGTCAAAAGATCACAAATCGTATCTAGTCGAAGACATTACCCTCAAAAATTTAAAAAAATTCCCTCGTTCCCCGTAAATGGGGGAAACTTATAACTATTTTAAAAATGACAAAACTAATATAATATATTTTTATAGATGCATGATGTCTTTACCTATCATTTGATATATTTTTTTTATAAATCTGACTTTAAAAGCCCTAAAGGGAAGATTCAAAATGACAATTAATTCGACTAAACTTTTGAAAGTGTTCCACAAATATTGACACTTTTATATATATCTTAAATTAAAGTTAATGTAGTACACTTAAATATGAAAAAAAAAAATTCTCGATTATGAATTTTACAACTTTAAAATGCTATAACTTTTTGGAAAATATATGGAACAATACATATTTTTTATAAGATATAAAATTTATATACTTTTTTTAAAATCTGACCATTTCCTATATACAGGGTTACAGGTTAAAAACTAAAAAATACATATAGAAAGTAAAACTTTTTTAACTTAATATTTATAGTGTTCCGGAAACTGAGACACTTTTATATATATCTTAAATTAATATTTATGTAATATACTTAATTATGAAAAAAAAAATTTCGGACTTTATTTTTTCTTCGCAGTGAAAATGGCTACACCCAGAGAAAAATCTCGATCTATATAATAAATTCATTGTTCAATTTGATAAATATATCATTACTATTGAATCAATGATATATTTATCATTATGATATTTTAGCTTCGATGCGAAGCTGAGAAGGTATTAATTTTACTATGATGTGTTTTTTTATTTTTTTTTTTATTTTTTTTTTTGTGTCTGTGAACGCTCAATCTCAGCTCTCGCTGGACCGATTTTGATGAACAATATGTCAAAAGATCACAAATCGTATCTAGTCGAAGACATTACCCTCAAAAATTGAAAAAAATTCCCTGGTTCCCCGTAAACGGGGGAAATCCCCCAAAAAATTACAAATTTAAAAATCGCTAATTTTCGATA